CGCTATTCGCTTACTCTGCTATTCGCTTACTCTGCTATTCGCTTACTCTGCTATTTGCTTACTCTGCTATTCGCTTACTCCGCAGCTTGTTGAAGACGATAACTTTGCTGTGATCAGAAGAGTATGTGTCAACATGGAGGGAATGAAACTGAAGAAGGAACTTATAAAGGGATGGGATCCAAGGACCATCAATGTCTTGACTGGTAGGTATTAACAAAGCAGCACTAATTGGTACTCAAAGATGTGCCACTTTGAAATCAACAAAGAAGCCACTTTCACGCAATAGCTCATGTTATTAGGACACCTTGATTTTCATTTATGTTAATGGTTATTGAGTTCACAGAAAAATAACAGCTGCCACATCATGTGATACTAGCCCACCTTACTGCTACATCATGTGATACTAGACCACCTAACTGCCACATCATGTAATACTAGACTACCTATCTGCCTCATCATGATACTAGTCCACCTACCTGCCACATGTGATACTAGAGCACCTACCTGCCACATCATGTGATACTAGACCACCTAACTGCCACATCATGTGATACTAGACCACCTAACTGCCACATCATGTGATACTAGACCACCTAACTGCCACATCATGTGATACTAGACCACCTAACTGCCACATCATGTGATACTAGCCCACCTTACTGCTACATCATGTGATACTAGACCACCTAACTGCCACATCATGTAATACTAGACTACCTATCTGCCTCATCATGATACTAGTCCACCTACCTGCCACATGTGATACTAGAGCACCTACCTGCCACATCATGTGATACTAGACCACCTAACTGCTACATCATGTGATACTAGACCACCTAACTGCCACATCATGTAATACTAGACTACCTATCTGCCTCATCATGATACTAGTCCACCTACCTGCCACATGTGATACTAGAGCACCTACCTGCCACATCATGTGATACTAGACCACCTAACTGCCACATCATGTGATCATGTGACCACCTAACTGTCTCATTATAATACTAGACCACCTGACACATGTAATACTAGACTACCTAACTGCCTCATCATGATACTAGACCACTTACCTGCCACATGTGATACTAGACCACCTACCTGCCACATGTGATACTAGACCACCTACCAGCCACATGTGATACTAGACCACCTGACACATGTAATACTAGACTACCTAACTGCCTCATCATGATACTAGACCACCTACCTGCCACATGTGATACTAGACCATCTACCTGCCACATGTGATACTAGACCACCTACCAGCCACATGTGTTTACTAGACCACCTGACACATGTAATACTAGACTACCTAACTGCCTCATCATGATACTAGACCACCTACCTGCCACATGTGATACTAGACCACCTACCTGCCACATGTGATACTAGACCACCTAACTGTCTCATCATGGTACTAGACCACCTACCTGCCACATGTGATACTAGACCACCTACCTGCCACATGTGATACTAGACCACCTAACTGTCTCATCATGGTACTAGACCACCTACCTGCCACATGTGATACTAGACCACCTACCTGCCACATGTGGTACTAGACCACCTAACTGCCACATCATGTGATACTAGACCACCTAACTGTCTCATCATGGTACTAGACCTACCTACGTGTTTTGTAACTGACACATGTAATACTAGATCCTCTTTGGTTGTATTTTGTTCTCAGGTGCTATGACAGTTGAATACCTTGGTTTCCTATCGAATATATCAGATCAGAAAGAGGCCTTGTTTCCAATTGATTTCAAGTAAGTAGTACATACAGTAATCAAGTAGTGTTCACTTTTATAAATTTATTCCATGTTTGATACTAAATTTATTATATTTAACTTAGCTAAGCTTTCTATCTAATTCAACTTCATCTTAACTTGTATTTTATATTTGTTTATGGTGCCTTACATATTATGTAAAATTTATGCAAATGATCAATAAAACAAATGTCTGATGTCTAATTACTCTGCAGATTTGATGTTTGACGAAATAATAAATGTGAATTTTAATGATTAACCATGTTTCCGTATTATTAATAAAGCCAACTTTGGTCACTGTCACAAAATCAAAACCAACATTTTGTTTTTCACATTTCTTCCAAAGTGTTGATCAAGATAACTTGCCAATTGAAAATCATGTCGGAAATAATCGAAAAAAAAAAATTGCAGAACAAAAATGTCAAAATGTAGTGTTAGAAACTTCGCAGTAGAACATTATGACGCACAAATGGGTAACCCTTGAATGCTGAAATTGTTCCCACCAAATGTTGTAACATTTTGCAATTTTTTGTTTATTTTTCTGTCAAGTCTTCATTAATTTTGGGTCAGAAAGAACATATTTTCTGTTGGCTTAAGGTCTTCTTAAACGTTTTGGCGAAAAAATGTGAAAATTGAAAACAAATTATGAAGATTTATTTTTTGAAAAGTGACTGAAATTGACTTTGATATTGAAAGGTTAAATGCATTCTTGAAAGCCAAGTAATCAAGGTTTATGTGGAGTGTTTTTCGTTACTATGTTCTGATGCTGTTTATTTTTGTTACAGAGTAACGCGTGTTTACTGGAGCACAGTCGATGCACGAAGAAGATGTATTTACACAATTACTATCAAAGAGTACCGTCCAATTTCTCCGACACAACCAACGAAAGACTTAAACAGAACTGTTGTACACAACACTACATTGTCAAGTGGTGATGAGGATATTAACTACACTATCTTACATGGTGAAAACAATGATTTATCGTCAAGTAATTTGAACAATGGAACAAACATATCTGGTCAAACCAATGCTGGTCGTTCATGCATTTCTCAGGACTCTAACATATTACAGAAGGATACTGTAACTATTATTGAAGAACCCAATACGGAGGTTTTGAATAACTCTTCATCAATTTCAAGTTCAGCTCTAGAATGTCTAGCACCAAACACTCTGAAGTTGCTTCCTTCTTCAACCCTTGATACTGCCAAAGCACCTGTAGATTTGACTGCGTCACCATTCACTGCGTCACCTAGACGTCTAGGTATGATGGTGGACCGGCTTAATGCGGGAGCTGCCTCTGCTAAACGTAGAAGTGCTAGGGAACTTGCTTTTAATGCGGAAACCAATAGTTACGAACCTTGCTTGGTAGAAACAGCTGCTGACATTGTCTCAGTAGTAGAAGAAGAGGATGTTACAAAGGAATCATTGGAAGAATCAAGTGGGAGTCGGTCAAATGTTCCTTCAGTTGTTGCTTCCGATGACGTCTCTGAACTTGTTCTTGACCTACAGGATTCTGATCTTCCATTATCAGATGCTGCCATGGAGATGATTGCCATGGAAACAGATGATATGTCGAGTACCTTGATTTGTGCAGGTTCTTGTGTATCTAGTTCCAGTTCTACACTAACAGCAACTGAGGAGGTCCCTGCTATAGAGGTATCAGTAATTGATGAAGAGCTTCAGGAAATAGAAGAACATAGTTTGGTCACGGAAGAAGAGAAAACATCAGCTCTTGAGCATGAAACAATAACAAGTCTTGCTGAAAAGTCAGCAGCCGTTCTTCAAGATGGAATGATCAGTGACGAGGTTAGAGCACTTGTGGAGGAAGCCATTGCTTCTGCTGGTAGTTGTTTGATAGAAACTGATCCCAGTTGTAAAACGAACTATACAACACCCAGCATACCAGTGGAAAGTACTCAAAGTGAAACAGCAGGGCAAATGTCAATTGCAGACCTTGTTGATAAGGTGGTAGAAGAATCACTTTTTGCAGCAACATCTGCAAAAGACACTGCATCATCAGCTGAACCAGTAGCGAAAATGTCCACAGACCCTGTTTCACATGTTTTAATGCACCATACAACACAGTGTTTGACTGATCCTGCTGAAAGACCAGCATTAAATTCTGTTACAGATTCCTCAAACAACACATCTGTAACTGCATCAATAGATATAACAGAAGCCAAACTAAAATCCATTACAAATACAGTCCCAGAAATTATACCAGTGTCGGAGACAGAAACCACATCAGAACAACCACCAGAACCAACTTTGAAGCTCATGGCAGATCGTAATATGATATCTGCAGCAGAATTAGAAACTTCATTGGAACCCATCAATAAATCTAAGAAATCACATGTTACTGGACTGCTGTCAGGACCTGTCTTAGCACCTACAGCAGAACCTGTTGTAGAATCTTCATCAGAGAATGTTGCCAAAGCTGTGTCACAAAAGGTCACAGATGCTTTGTTAGAACCTGTTGCAGAACCTGTCACAGAAGCTTTGTTACATCCTGTTGCAGAACCTGTCACAGAAGCTTTGTTGGAACCTGTTGCAGAACCTGTCACAGAAGCTTTGTTGGAACCTGTTGCAGAACCCGTCACAGAAGCTTTGTTAGAACCAGTTGCAGAACCTGTCACAAAAGCTTTGTTGGAGCCTGTTGCAGAACCTGTCACAGAAGCTTTATTACATCCTGTTGCGGAACCTGTCACAGAACCTGTTGTCGGAGCTTTGTTAGCACCTATCAGAAAACTTATGTCAGAACCTGATGCAGAGGCTTTGTTACCATCTGTTGCAGGGCCTAGCTCAGAACAAATTACAGAACCTATAGCAGAAGTTGTGTTAGAACCTGTTGTAGTATCTAAGTCAGAACCTATCACAGAAGCTACCAGTTGCTTAAATCCTACCACAGAAGCTGTGTCAGAACCTGTCACAGAACAAAACACAGTGGTAGAAATATCACTGAAAACTGTCACAGAGGCAACATTAGATTCTCTGCCTGAAACTTTGTCTTCAGCTAATTCAAACTCTGTCACAGCATCCCTGCAAGACTCTGTTTTAGAACTCCAAAAGAAGAGCAGCATTCCAACAGAAATATCAAAATTTCCAAAGGCTGATGTCAGTATCATGCAAAGACTTGATTCAGATTCTAACATTGGTGATCATTTCATGGAATCAGGTTTGAAAAAAAGAAAAAATAGTGACAGTAATGTAGAAGAGAAGCAGATAGCCGAGGAGAACTCATCTGTGGACCATGATGATAATTTGATTGATGGCTCTCAGGTTCAAAAAATTCAAACTGTTTCCAATGTTATAATTCCCATGGAAACAACACAGACTACTGATGCAGTAGAGAAAGTTGAGGAAGAATCACATGCTTTAGGTTTGAACAAAGAGACGTTGGCTGAAGACAGTTTTTCTTCTCCAAAAGATGACTTGGATAAGAAGGAAGATAGGAGCCATCAGAATGAAGTTAATGAAGAGACTCATTATTTGCACACCCCGTCATACTTGTGCCATCGCTGTGGTAAGCCATACAGATCTCAAAAACCATATTTAAAACATATGAAAATATGTGTGGAGATGAATGATGACTCTGATAATGATGAAAAGTTTCAGAAAGACTTGGATGTAATCGATGTTAGTGTTGAAGGAAGAAAAAGGTACCCTATGAGGAGCACAAAGACAAGGTTGCTGCGGATTGTGGAATTTGGTTCCCCAACAGTGCCATTGAAGTCTCCAACCAAGGATGAGGTGACTTCTCCCACAAGAAAGAGATTAAAGAGTGGAGGTAGCAGCACAGATGAGAGTGAGCCACAGAAGGAGTGTGTTGCCAGGAGTCAAGAATCTCATTCAGAGGCTTGCACATCACTAAATGCTAAGGATGTTTCAGCAGTTGGTATGTCTGCATTAGATGAGTGTAAATCTGGAAAAGTAGATTGCAAGGTTTCCACAGATGATGCCAAATTAATATCTAAAACAGCTCTAGTACAGGGTGTTGATCAGCATCTTTCTGAGGTAGATAACAAACAGAATAAAACAGAAAAGGAAGAAAGCACCACCATAACCCCAAGGAGGAGAAGGACACGTAGTAGTAGCATCTGTGAGGACAACACAAAAATGATTAGAGATGTTAATTCTAGATTCAGGAGAAGATCATTTGAAAACAGCGAGTTAAGGTTGTCGAAAGTGACCAGCCCAACATCTGACAGTGTGTTTTACACCAAGGATTTGGCAAAGATAGCATCAATAAAAGAGCTTAATCCATTTGTTATGTTGAATAAATGTGATGAGGAAACACCAGGAAACTGTAAATCATCTGCAGACATTTCAGTTGAATCGATTGAACAAGATGCACAAGTTGAGGAAAAGAGCAATATTCATGAAGCAGTTGGGAAGCTTGGAAAATTGACCTCTTCAGAATTTGTGAAAGCTGTGGAAGGTACACATGACAAACCACCATTGATCACACCAATGAAGACATCAGGAGAACCTGAATTGCTGACTGCGGTTGAGCATCCGGAAAGCAGCATCCCAAAAACATCATCTATTTTGAGCAGCTTTGACATGAATGGAAAACGTGTAGTGACCACACAAGCATGCATTGTTGTAGATGTCCCAGTCTCGGATCAAACACAACAGATAGTCACCCCCCCAAAATCATCCCCAACTGTTAAACATGCATCCTCGGACAAGAAAAAAGGGATGGTCACTCCAACTAAGACATCCCCAACTGTAAAAATCTCATCACCTGTTGAAAATGCTCCAGTGGGATTAAAATTAAGGACTCTTCTTCTTGATGCTAATGCCACAAATCCAGTGATAAGTCACATCTCTCCATCATCAAATCCATCCAATAAACTTTTCAGTGTAAATGAAACGGTATCCAAGGGAGACATAACAATTGTAGCCGAAGTCGAAGGTCTGAAGGATCCTTCAGCTTCACCAGAAGCTCTTAAAGAAAAAACAAAAACCCTGAGGAACCGTACTTCTTCTTCATCAGAAGATTTGAGAAAACCTTTAACTTCAACAGAAATGATAAAGAAGCTTTCTCCTACACCAGAAGCTCCGGGGAAATCTTCAGCTGCAGCAAAAATTCCAAAGATGCCTTCACCATCTGCAAAATCTCTGAAGAACCTTTCATCATCAACAGAGCCAACATCCAAAGAGCCTCATGTTATGACATTGAAAGAGCTTCTCCAGGTGGGAAACTTAGATAAACGAGTGTCAGCTAAAGTCCTGCCAAGCACTCTTAGTAATTTAAAATCAAACCACCAGTCGAACTCTTTTGTATTGCATGGGAATATCTCTCAACTGGCTGAACATGTTTTGTTGATGACTATGCCAGGAGACTTGAAAACTTCTGTATCAGGCTCTTCAACAAAAACAGATTCAAAACCAACTGTAACAAAAGATTCCCTTGTTACCAGAAAATATAAACCAGATCGAGTTAAAGAGAAGATAAAAAGGTACACTCCAGAGGAACTAGAGAAGCATAATATTGATCCAAAGTACTTGAAAACACTGTTCCACAGTTTGTCCCCTTTGGAACCACAACAGTCGCAGTTTGTGAAGGGTATAACAGAAAAAGGTCCCAATGAGCAAATGGAGATGTCTACGCATACTGCACATCCTTCAGTTTTGTCACATCATCAACATGAAGAGAAACAACCAACAGTAACACAGTCTCCTGAACTACTAAGGTATCTCTGTAGTCCCACGCCTAGTATATCAAATTCGCTAAGTCAGTCACCTCAATCCGCAGGAAAACCTTCTCCTGTAGCAATCCGACCTAAGTTTGGGAGTAACAATCCTGCCCTTCATACCAGTCCTGTTCCGTTCCAGCCCCAACAGATGGTTGTTATGGCACCAAATGTTCCCCCTGTTGGGGGAATGCCATTAGCAATGACAAATGATGGAATTAAACGACAGACTTTGACGACACGGATGGGTGATGGTGTTGGTAGGGTTGGAGTGCAGGGGTTACCAATAGTGAATTCAGGTGTGCAAGGATTACCAGTGGCGAATGCAGGAAATCCGTCCTACATGGTTGTCAATCCTTCAGAGCTTCCAGTGATGGTAGTCAAGAATAATGGTAAAATGGAGAGAAACGTTGTAGTCACAAGGGCCCTGCAAATGCAGCCTACATCTTTGAGCCACAGTCCTGTTAAATTAATCGTTGATATGAAAAACCATGTATCTGCTACAGTGCGCCATATGCCCATGAATGAAACTCTGCCAGTCGTAGCCGATAAAAGTGGCTTTCAGTTCCCAGTACAGCCTGCGATGACACTCCCACCACAGGCCAGCAATCATATCCCTGGCTACCAGGTGCCAGTACTTGCACCCATTATTCACAATCCTCAAGGTTTTGGAGGGTTTCAACCACCAGTGATATCGACAAATGTCATGTCTTCTTTCCAGAGGGCAGTTGACCAGGAAGCTGCAAGACAGAGTAGTTTATTCCTGACAAGCCCACAAAAGCATCAAATGCAGCTGCCGAATTCCCCAGTTAGGTCTGTCTCGCATGGTGTGGAAAATGTAGCTGTGGGTGGGAACAAATCACCAATTGCAGCGCTGTTCCCGACGACGTCTCAAGCAGAATTGATACAGGCATATCATGATGCAGGAATTCCATACCCGTCACTGCCGCAAGAGCCGCCAGGTGGATTACTGCCGAGGGTTGAGATTCAACAGCATCAAGTGCCACAAGCCATTGTTTCTCAACAGAGTGCTGTTCAACTTGTATCTACTGCAGGAGCTGTACCCTTGTCTGTACTTGAAGGTGTTGCAACACAGAGTCAGGCATACCTGTCTAATCATTTCCAACAGAATCCATCCAGAAATGTTGCAGAAAACATTCCATCATCAGGTACTGTGAATGCTTTAGGCCAACAGGGTGTTTCATTAGGTGTTCGTATGAGTGTTCAACCATGTATTCAAGGAATTCCAATGGGACTGCAACAAAGTGCTCCGCAGAATGTTCAAGGTATTCAAATAGGTGTACAACAAAATGTTCAGATGGATGTTCAGCAGAATGATCAAGGTGTTTCCCAATGTATCCAAGGTGTTCCACAAAATGTTCAGGGCATTCAGATGGGTGCTCAGCAAGCTGGTGTCCCAGCTTTTTGTACAGGAATGAGCAATCAGATGATCAACAAAACACCTCCACTGTCATCTCAGAACACATGGGATGATCTGATCAGAGTTATGCAAAGTCCTGTTAATATAAACAAGCAGCAGAAACTGACTTCTCCAAACGACATCATTGCACAAGCAATGGTGACTGCATCAAATGCGTCACGATCTTCTTCAACGTTAAGCAATTTTCATACAAGCCAGTCCTTACAAACACAGGCACTGCCATATTCTACCTCATCCCTCACTAGCACTGGGGTTTTAACAAAAGGTATGTATCCCATGCCCTCTACTAGTAAACCTTCATACCTTGATGAGTTGTTGATAGCACAGAACACAAGCAACCTCGCCAGCGGAGTTGACTCTGTTAAGAAGACGTACAATCCGCCAAACAATACGCAGCTACAGTTTCATGCACCCCAAGGGGTTTATTCTATACACTCATCTATGTCCAACCACGCTGACATTGGCACTGGATTATACACAGACGCAACAAAAGGCACAGTTTCTTCGTTAACTATAGCCAACCAACAATCGCAGCCTCATGCTCTGCTTGCTATACCCACTAGCAAAGTGAGTTCGTCAGCCAATCTGGGTGCTTCTGCGGCACTGAGGAATATCGTCCAACAGAAAAATCTTGATGGAGTGTACATGTCGTCTGGAACAATGTTACGTCCACTTATGGTGAACACCCAGAGTCAGCACATGATGCCGTCCATCCCGCTTTCGCTTCCGACGCTTCCAGTGTCATCCCTCGTTACCAGCTCAGTGTCGGCGCCAATTGTCACAAGTTCAATGAACCCAGTGACTCAGCTAGCGAACATCCTCTCTGAAGCCGGGATGCAAAGCTTAAGCAAATTGACGCCAGATGAATTGACGTATCTTCACCAGGCTCTGAGTTCAGATGCGTCAACCATCAATATTGATATGGTGTCGGCGAGACTTCTAGGGACTAACTCGAAGAAGAGAAAACCTCCAACTATTATGAACAAATCAAAAAGAACTAAGCTAATCAAACATTCTCCGAGCAGCTTAACGGAATCAAACCATACAATCAGAAAGGATATGACAACTATTCACACTAGTCCTGAACGAATATGCGCTCCTTCACCATCTAAACCGAAGACCAAACCGCGAATAAAGAATCCTGGTGGCAGCGCTAGTAGTCGGCCGCGAATGAAACACCCAACTTTCCAAGCAAGCGATTTGCCACAGATAAACATAGCCAATGCTAGCTGGGAGAAGGCATTTGAACAACGAATTAAGAACCCTGAATTGTCTGTTTATAATCTTCTGAGGGAGCCCTCAGTGTTAAAAGACAGTCGAGGAAGCAGTGCAGCGAGTGCAAGCGAGACAGAGCAGCCAAAGAAAAAGAAGAGAAGGAAAGAAAAGTTACAAGCCAGAGATAGTGATGAGAACTATATGCAAGGTACAATTTCCACTTTATTTTTACATACTCCCGATATAGGTACATACATAACCTAACTTTTTCATCACTAGTTTCATGAAATAGCTCTGTTTATAATCTGCACTTTCCTTCAGAAAATTTGGATAACCAAATTATATTTGGGTAATAGTTGACTCAAATTTGGCTTCGTTCCAAGAGTAAGGTTTATTTCCTCAAATATTGAATATAAAAAAAAAGTGCAGACAAATTTGGGTGAGAAAGTCTGGTGGTAAAAAGGTTAACTTTAGAATTATTTTCATATTCATTTTTACTTTTGCAACAATGTCAAATTTGAAATGATCATCAAAATGGAGTTTTTTTTTATTAAAATGATGTAAAATTTAATTGCAGGTAAATACTTTCTTAAAAAATTTTGCAAAATATGATGAAGCATTTCTATAATAGTCCCCACGCTGATGCAGACGGAAAATGGATTGCCAACGTGAATTGAAAAGCGAAACTTGCCAAATAGTTTTTCGTCTTGCTGGCCGGATTTATTTTTCTAATTTGTCATGCTGTTATCATCATACCTTACTTAATATTTTGCAGTTACATTTAAATACTTTTGGATCAGCTTTATTTTAACAAGTTAATTCCGCTTACCTAATTTAATTTTTTTTCTCTTTGATCTTGACCCATTTAGAAAGTGCTGGTTTGATTAGACCAAGACGCCAGAAACCAAGACAACAGTTATTAAATCACAATGACAATGAACAAGCGAGCGAAGAGGACAATTCAGTGCTGCTGAAGTTGATGGAGCAGGAAGAGAAGCGTAAAAAGAAGGAGAAGCTTCTGAATAAAGATGATCCGCA